TTGCAAAAAGATTCATCACAAAGTTTTTAAAATCCTAAGTAAATTTAAATATATACTATTTCTCACCCAACAATAGAAGAATATATATACATTCTTCTCAAGTGCATATCGAGCATTACCCAAAATAGATACTATTACAGGCCATAAAAGATGCCTCGATAAATTTTAAAGGATTTAATCATACAACCATCATGGAATAAAATAAAAATCAACAGAAGCAATTTGAGGAACTCACAAGCATGAAGAAATTAAATAACACACTTTTTAAACCAGTAGGCCAAGGAAAAAATCATAAAGGACATTAGAGAACACCAAGATATAAAAAAAAGAAAAGAAAAGAAAACACCAAGATAAATGAAAACAAACATAACAGACCAAAACTTATGGGATGTAGCTAAAGCAGTGCTTAGAGGGAAATTTATGGCTGTAAATGCCTACATTGAAAAAGAAGAGAGATGTCAAATTAATAATCTAAACTTCCAACTTAAACTAGGAAAAGACGACCAAACAAAATCAAAAGCAAGCAGAAGGAAATAAAAGACTCAGTCAAAAATAAGTGAAACAGAGAATAGAAAAGCAACAAGGAAAAATTAATGAAACCAAAACTTAGTTCTTTGAAAAGATCAGCAAAAAACTGAGAAACCTTTAGCTAGACTGACCAAGAATAAAAAGAAAGAAGACTCAAATTACTAAAATCAGAAATGAAAGTGGGGACATCACTACTCCTTTTGTAGAAATAAGAATGATTATAAGGAAATACTGTATCAATTGTATGCCAACAAATTGCACGGCTTAGAACAAGGATGCAGGGCTGACACTTCCTGATTTCAAAACATTCCCCCAAGGCTGCAGTAATGCAGACGGCGACTCCCACCCTATGACCAAGGTCTAGGGGCACTTGCCTGGAAGCCTCATTTCGGAGAGCAGCTGAGCAGCCAACGCCCGCACACTGGGGACTGCACCTGGGGCTTTCTTCCCGGTCCAGCCTCCCAGCTCCTGCCTGTGGCCTAGCACGTGCACCACAGAGCCAAGCAGGTCCTCTGTAAACTTTAAGATCACAATTTTACCATTAAAACAGTTCTACTGTGACCCGATACCCATGTCATATCACCATGGAGAAGGACAGTTTTCTTTATCTCTTAATGCCAACTATTATGGACCACAAAGTAGAAGGAAAAAAAATCACCCAACTTATGTAGTTATTCATTTTTCTAAGGATACATCTGGCCTAGAAGTTTTGCAAAGCATTTGTCCAGGACTTCCAACCTCAACCAAGCAGCTATGGGGTCTCGGGTTCCCCAAGGGTGGATCACCCAACTTATGTAGTTATTCGTTTTTCTAAGGATACATCTGGCCTAGAAGTTTTGCAAAGCCTTTGTCCAGGACTTCCAACCTCAACCAAGCAGCTATGGGGTCTCGGGTTCCCCAAGGGTGGACGTCTCCGTGATGCCTCCATCAGCTACATAATTGTCCTAAGTCCTCACCTAAGCACACGAGACTGCTGAGGAGGCTGCAAGGGACCCCTGTGGTCTCCCTACCTTTTGGACTTCTCTGGCTGTCACAGGCCCTTCTGTGGCAGAAATCATCTTCAGAATCATGAGACTCTTCTCCTCGGAGTTTCCTTTCAGCAGGTGGGACATGAACACTGTGAACTGCTCATGGGAAACACTCTCGCTGGGCCCCTTCGCCTTCCCTGCCAGGTCGACCCTCCGCATGCCATCGTACAGTCTGGTGACCATCTCTGAGGGGAGAGCTTCCCCAACGTGGTTCTGTTGGAAACAAGGGGGAGAAGAGACAAGACAGGGTGTGAGTGATGCTTGGTAGTATAGCAGAAAAACAAAGGGCCAAGACCGACCAAGCACCAAGACGGTGCTTCCCACAGTCACCTAGCCCTCCTGCAGCCCCACGTGTACCATCTCCCCCACCTAAGGACCTCATCCCACCTAGGGGCCCACACGCCAGAAGTGTCCTGGTTTATGGCTCCTCTTGTCCCCTTCCACAAACCATCCCATCCTGCCCCCCCACTTCCCAGTCTCCCCAAACTGGCCACGTCGTTCCTCCCTCTGGCCATCGTCTGCTTTTCACTCTGCTCAGAACATCTTCATTCTCGATGGTAACAGCTGCCATGTAAATGTCTGAGCTTATTCATGTATGTCTGTGAATAGCTAATTTGGTCTCTGTATTAGGGATTTCCAAATGTATTAGCTAGCTTTTACTTCTTATCCAAGTTCTTTGTGCTCAATATGCATTTTTAATTAATTTTTTAAAAATTAAATCTTTAATTAATGCCTTAACAATTCTGTAAATATTGTTTTCCTTTTTGGCTTCAGCATCAAATCTGATTTGGTCCAGGGATTACAAACAAATGGTGAGAGAGAGCAAATCATGAACAAAATCACAAACTTGCCACATAGTAGAGTCTGAAAGCTGGATTCTCCTGCGACGACCGACCGCGTGTGTGCTGTTTGCCACACCACCAATGTTCTGCAGTTCTGGTAAAGCAGTCTTCCACCCCCATCACTCAGAAGGAGCATTCCTATTTCTGTCAGTGTTTCCAAAGTGGTAGTGGAAAAGCAACCTCTAATTCCATCCCGAAGAAACCTTTATTAAGTCATCAAAGTCTTCTGATCAACTCTTAACCATATTTGTCTTGACAAACACTCATGGATGGTGCCACTCACTCTGTAACTGTCTGGTTCCCTGTGCTCCAGCTCAGTGTGTGCCCTAGGCCAGCTGGGA